CTCACATTTATAAAGACCATAAGCTAAGGTCTTTTTTGGACTTGCTCTCTTGAGTTTTGCTACCTGTGAACCTCATGAGGACTTTTTTGGACTTGCTCTCTTGGAAATGGTGAGTTTTGCTACCTGTGAACCTCATCTGATGTAGCATTTGAAAGCCACATTCAGGCATCTTTTTTCTAATAGCCGCGTAGAACCGCCATCCCATGGACTTTGCACAACACGCCTGCCTTTGTCTATAAATCAGATATGAAACACGAGTATTAAATATTAGCCTCGATTTCAGTAAGCACAGAGCAGGCTGAGTTGTATTGCATAAACCTTGCCTTTTCTGTCTCAACTTGACAAGCCGTAAAGCAGAAACGGAGACCGAAAGAAGGAAATAGTGGGGGACAAGATCAGTGCATGGTGTGCAATGGCCAAAGCACTAGAAGGAGAAGAAAAACCACCCAGCAACCTGCACGAGGGGTCTCTTGGGTTAAAATTCTTGATTTCTGGGAAGAGCTTGCAGGGTTGGTGCTTTCAGAGGAGCCTCCCATTGCTTTGGCAAAAAGAAAGGCTCTGCGTGTCACATCCTGCTGATTTTTAGGCATTTTCTTGGTGCACTGGTTTGACCATGAACACGGCAGTGGTCCCCACTTGGACTTTGAAGCCGTGGTGTTTTGTCTCTGCTCGCAGCAGGGTTGGTGAGAGTTTGTACTTTTTCCCAGTAAACAGAGGACAAAGCACCCTTGTCTTGGGTTTGAACTAAGGTTGAAGAACCTTAGTTCCTCCAGTACCTGAAGGGGCTACAAGGAAGCTGGGGGGGACTTTTTACAAGGGCCTGTAGTGACAGGACAAGGGGGAACGGGTTTAAATTGGAAGTGGGGAGGTTTAGATTGGATATCAGGAAGAAATTCTTCCCACAGAGGGTGGGGAGGCACTGGGACAGGTTGCCCAGAGAAGCTGTGGATGCCCCATCCCTGGAAGTGTCCAAGGCCAGGCTGGATGAGGCTTGGAGCAACCTGGTCTAGTGGAAGGTGTCCCTGCCCATGGCAGGGGGGTTGGAACTGGATGATCTTTAAGGTCCCTTCCAACCCAAACCATTCTGTGATTCTATGATTTCTCTATCTCACTGCTTGCTGCAGCACTGTGAGATCCAGACATGCCCTGCTTGGTAAAACCACGATCCGCACCGCCTTGGGCTTTCCCCCGCAGCAACCCCATTTTATATGGGTTTGGATGCATGCAGTGTTTTGCGTATCATCTCTGCCTACGAGATAACAGGTGCTTGGTTAATTGTATTCCTTAATTATGGGATTCCTTGCTTTATTATACCTGGCCCGTTATGAGCTGATTTAGCTGGTGATGAAAGTGGTGCTGCTTCTCCGGTGGGACCAAGCAAGCTGGCTCTTAACAAATAAGCACGGCTAATTAAAGACCCCAATGGTTTGGGGCATGAAGTGGGGTTTCACAACAATGGCACTTGGGTTTTGCTGAGCTTGGGAAATAATTTCTGGGCATGCGGGTCCCTGCCCTACCTGCCTCTATAAACAGGCTGTTCCAATAATCCAATGGTCAAAGTGAATATTGTGGTAATAAATTACCTCTCCCCCTCCTTTTTTTTTTTTAACTTGCTTCTGGATTTTTAGCTGGTTACCATGGTAACTCACCACCTTCCTTTTTCTGGTGAGTCTCCAAAGTGGCTGATGGAGGTAGCCTTGGGGAGACGTGTGAGCTGAGCAGAGCTTTGCTCTCCGTTCTCTGCGAAGTCAGATGCAACGCCTGATGGGACCACTCAGATAAAGACCAAAGCATTAGGATACTGAAGAACATCAGACCTTCTAGTTTAAGTAGTTTGCTCCATCAGGACGTTGATTTCCAGCCTAAATTTGTTGCCACAATCAATTCTGGCCAAGGCGTGAGTTATTGCCTGTACTATGGGGGGTGGATGATCCTTCGTTGGACGCTCAGCTTGGAAACTTCGGTGTTCAACTAAGGGCCAGCATCCCGTCACAGAGCGATGCTGCACACCTACACAGAGATAACATTTGCTTCCCCTGCATCCATTCTACCCATTTCCCCTTGCAGAATTTGGCGATTCGAATTGCATCTGGTTCCTTCCTTCCTCTCTTCCATCCCTCCTCGCTCTCCACAAGGCAGCAAACTGCTTTCCCTGTTAGGACTGAGATCTTTGGAAGAGATTTGCAGCTCTCTGGGGAGCTTGTCATGAAATGATCTGATTTCTAAGTGTTTCAAAGCAGCTCTTGGGTTCCAGGTCTCCCTTGTTGTGGTTAACCACTGACAGCCGACGCAGCCTGACCTGGGGCATTGCTAATCCTTCCCTTTCTCTTTTCAGTTCTTCTGGGTCCTTCTGGCGATCTTCCTCACGGAGCTGCTGCTGATATTCATTGAAATCATCTTTGAAAACAAGGTGGGTGCAATCAGGAGGCCTTTGGGTGCTGCACAGCGACAAACAGCAGCCCCACGTATCTTCAGGGAGGAAAATCCCCAATTGTCTGTTAGTGCCCACCCTGAAAACAAAGGGTTTTCATCACTCTTGCTCTTCTGGGGCTGCCCATTGTGCTCCAGAGCTGCGATGGATCACCAGCACCTCCTAAAGCCCTGCCGCAGCTTCCTGTGCAGATTCCCAGTCCAAAACCTCTTCGGGTTTTTTTTATTGAGAACTCATTAAGCTCCTCACCTCAATTACGTTAACTGCTGGCTTGCATTTGCAAGGACAGGTTTGAGTTATAGCTGAGCTGGCGAGATGGTAAATGCTTCCAACGGATGTCCTTTCTGGCCCTCCTGCCTTCTGCTGAAGAAACCCTGCTATTTTCAATTTAATCTTACCCTTGCCATTGATCAAATGATTAAATAGCTAATCTCAATCTCTCGTTGGCTCAATGGATGCACAAGGCAGGAGAACAATGACTGAAATACCTACTTACGGGCTCTAAAAATTGATTCCCCTCTGCACAAACAGCTTGATGCTTTCAAACCCATCAAGGTTGGCGTTGGGAGTCACGTACTCGGTGAGCTCCAAAGACGAGTTGGGGTTGGGAGTCACGTGCTTGGTGAGCCCCAAAGTCAAACAAAAGCAATGTGGGAAGATATTGCTTTTTGGATACTGCAGCCAACTCCATCCAGCAGCGTCTCAGAGTGTTCCGAAACCCTTTGATCCCTGAAAAACACAGTGCACCAGTGGAGAGATGTGCTTCTCTGAGGAAAATCAGATTGCTTGAGTCCTTCCCACATATGGGAAATCAATATGTGCTGTCACATAGAGACTTTATTTTTGTGGAATTCAATATTAACCCCCTTGCTTTGCTCCAACTTTTAGCCTCTGTGATGGTGCTCAGCACCATCCTGCACTGCAGGGATGCAATGGAGAAACGCTGGTACCATCAGGAGAGGTGATTGCAGCCTCGTGATTAAACTCCTGGATTGAGTAGAAACCATTAGCGCCTAAATTGTCCCTTAATTTAAATTTAACGGGCAATATCAAAACCTAATTAAAAATCAAACAATGAGGGAGAGAGAAAAGAGAGATCCGACAAGCGATGAATCCACTTGACCTAAAATTGTTCGGAGGCACTAATCTGCATTTGGAACAATGGTTGTTTATTAAACTTGTTAAAAACATATTTAATTGGATTTTGTATTAAATAAGCAGGGATGAGGAACGAATTTAGTGGCCTCGAAGCTACTGAACACTGAAATGGGCTTTGTTGATATGCAAATGTGGTTTTGGAGATTATCTGAGATAACGTGTTTGACATCTTTGAAGGGAAGGGAGTGGAGAGGTCTCATAACCAGAACTTAATGATTTAACCCTGCGACATTTATCTCCCACCTTAAAATCAAGATTTAATTACAGAAGCTGCCTCCGGGCTGGCATCTTCTCAGAGAGCAATAGGATCATGAGGGGAGCCTATCTGGGGGAAAACAAGCGGAGAACGGTAAAACCCGGGTGTTGCCTGTTGTGTTGGTCTTAGCGGTGGGCAAACTGGGAATTAACATCTCAATAATCTTCCACATGAGCAATTTCTTAAGGGTTTTTTCACATCCCCTTGCCTGATCCCTCGCTGTTGGCAGGCTTTGTTTGCCGCTCTGACGTGCCTTCATTTCTCTCTTTTTCGCGTTCTTCTCCCCGTTCCCGGTTTGCCCAACCTCTAATTTTCATGTCAGAATGAATTATGAAAAACAACGTTTTCTTCCCCCTCCTTTCCCCTACTTCTAACTCAGAAGAAAAGTTCCTTTTTCCTTCATTAATATTTCTGCTTGGTGGTTTGTCAGGAGTCAAACGACAAACCTGCGCCGGGCTTTGCATAGGACATCGCGAGCCTCCGCTCCCAGCTCACTAATAAGCTTCCCAGGCATCTGTAAAATACATTTTCGATTCAATTAGTGTTTAATGTGAAGTGCCTGATGTGTCAAAGTGTCCTCGGAGATACGGCTGAATGAGCAGCAGGGAGAGCCCCAGCTCGGCTGCACCATTCCCTTTCAAGACGTGATTGAGTTGCTGAATGATTTGTTGGGATTGGGAGTGATTGAGGGCTCTGATGAGGTCTCTGCTCCTGCACGTAGCTCATCCCACAGATAAATCACCATGCAGCCGGCGGTGTTGGCTACCACACGCCGTTTCACCTTATCCAGCCCCTCCGAATGCAGCAGAAACCCTCCTGCCAGTGGTTAAAATCCTGTTGGTCAATGGGATTGGGGAGCTAGAGGGACTTTCTGAAGCCACCCTGATAATTAAACTGATTATGCAGCATGTAGGAATAATTGGGCGGGTAAAGGTGCGTGGGTCTGCTTGCATGTGCAGGAAAAAGAAAGGTGCTACGGGATGCTGCTAACCCCAAGAGCCCAAAAGGGATGCTGCTAACCCTGAGCTCTCAAAAATGATGGATTTTGTCCAAAAAATAAGCTTGTGCCAGCATGCGGGTTATATTCTTACTCCAGTAACAGCTGACAACGCTTGCTATGAAAAAATCTTCATGTTTTACAGTGTTTTCCCAGTGCCTTTTCCATGTGAGCCATGTTTTTGCTTCTTCTGTCCCCAGATGAACGCAGTTTTCCACTCCAACATCCAAGAGGGCATCAGGCACTATTATGATGACCTTGACTTCAAGAACATCTTGGATTTTGTGCAAGAAAAGGTTTGGTTTTGGAATGTGGGTGGCATCAAGGTGGTCTGGTTGTGAAGTTTTTCCAGGATTTGTTCGCTCTCTGCCTCACCGAAATGGAAGCATTAGTTTTTCCTGCATTTTTAGAGTTTATTCCCATTTTTTGGATGCTTTGCTCGATCTATCTTGAATATCTTGCTCTTTCTTGGTTTGCCCTGCTCTTTTTGCATGGTTTTGGGTTTTGCTGATCTCCAGGCCCACCCGTTGGTGTTTTTGGCAAGTTATTCTGCCACTGTGTTCCCAGCAAAGAGCATCTTCTACTCCACACCATGGAGTGGACCATAACAGGATAGTTATATTTCCCAGTCTTGATGGGCAACCAGTGCCTAATGCCTGAAAGCTTTTGATAGCTACCCCAACCTGCCTAGAGAGGGGTGGGGGAATAAAAATAACGTGTACTGAAGCTCTTCCCGGGCTGCAGCAACCCTTAAATAGACCACCTTAGGTCTGTCTCTTTGCTTGAGGTGTCATCAGTAGCTGGCCAAGCCCTTGACTCAGTGGGAAAACTGAAGATAAGGTGTTTTCATGCAGTAGCTGGAAGAAGAGCTTCAGCCTTTCCATGGGCAGCACCAGGCAAGCTGCTCCTGGGACTGATGAGAGCTATGTCCAGTCCAATGCTGCTTTAATTTGGCATAGTCTGCTTTAATATTTTTAGGTGTGTAGTTGCATATTCTGTCTCATATCTAATGTTTAGAGCCTGCCAGGAGTTGGCAGGATCCATCCCGTATCCTCGAGCCAACCTGCAGATCGATAAAGCCATCCTTGCAAATCTTAACTTTTTAACCAATCTTTTCATAACTGCTGCTGTTGCCTTATAGTTTATCCACCGTGTAGTTTATTTAAGGTACTAAATATTAAATCAAGTATTAAGTTGAAACGTCTTCTTAATTCCTGCCATTAGGCCTAGAACTAATTAATTTGATCATTTTGTCTCTTGAAACCTGAACAGCCATGCTTCAGCAAAGCAATGATGCGTCCCCCCATGTCCATCGGAAAGCCACGTGAAGTCAGGATCTGACGTTGTTATTCATCCCGCTAAGCGTGTGGTGGGTTCGGACAGGCTTGGTTGACTCTAACGTATCATTTGGTTTTTTCCAGTACTACTGAGAAGCCTTTCCTAGGAATCTAGGGGATGTAGGCTTGCTCATGTTCTGAAGGAGGGTTTTTTGGCTTGCCCGTTACTTGTGTTACTGCGGAAGGAAAGCACTTGGCTCAAAGCATTTGATGAATGAAAAAAAATTGGAAAAAAACCCCAAAAACTTGAGCTCTAGGAGGGAAGTCGCAGTGATGTTATGTCTCGTGGGTTGGTTTCGGAGAGCAGAGCCAGGCTTTGCCAGCAGAGCTGCTTGCAGATGAACTTGGAATGTTCTCACCTTGGCCTGATTTCTCTCTTTTCGTTATGGGTTGAAGCATCATAAATACGTGAATCTTATTTCTTGCTTTGAAGAAAAGGAGACTGTGAAGCTCCTTCTTCTTTGATGTAGCTGGAATTTAAGGCCGGCGGTGCCCTCCGCGCTCCCCTCTCTTGGCTTAAATACCTGCTTTTGACTCTTGAAGTCATCGTTACTCAGCCGAGGGCGTTAATAAGGCCATGAGCCCTCTGAAGGTTTCAAGACCTGACTGATTCTGAGAAGGATCTGAATCTTTTTCAAGTTTACCCCAACCTCTCTGCGAGGATGATCTAATTCAGACCTCTCCGTACGAATGATAAATGGATGCTACTGCGGGCAGTCGGAAAGTCCACGTTGGAGCCATCGTCAACGAGCCTTGGCAAGGAGATTGGCCCACAAACCTCCAGACAAAGCAGATGCATTTAGTTTCTGTATCTCCAAATAAGTGAGGATCAGCCGTTTATCATATAATCTCACCTCATTTTTACAATGTTTTTCCTGTCTGCTTCTTGACTTGACCTTTTATCAAAAGTTTTCAGAGCGCAATCTTCATTTTGAAGTCTCTCTCTGTACTAAGAATTTGTGACCACTTGTAGCGTTGCTGTTAAGTCTTTAACATCTGCACATTTTAACTCGTAGCGAGAGCAGGAGCTTGGTAAGAATGTGCAGCTCGTCGCTGCGAGCTTTTATATCAGCGTGTGATTTCCAAACCAGGAACAGCAGCAACGTCGGTGACTGAAATGCAGAGTTGCTTCATCCTGAGGGTAGGACCAGGGAGAAGCAATGCAGAGGAATAAGTGCTTTTAAGAGAAGGGAAATCGGTTTTATGAGACCCGAGGGGCCCCAGTTCACTTCAGGAGGATGAAAACTTGCAGTCAGTCTGGAAGGATTGAACCCAGACCTGCGACTTCGATAAAACAAACTCCAAGCAGCCAGTTATCATCATTTAGTAGTTATTCTTGTCATTTTCCCTATTAAAAACCTTGTCTACGCACAGGTTAGCGGGCACACAGCTTATTTAGGTCAGGCAAAACTAGTCTACGCTCCTTAGGATTTAAATTTTTCTTAAGCCTTCTCTTAAGTGTTGCTTTAAACTGGAACCAACAGCCTTTGCATGCTTAAACGGGTATCATATGGTAAAAACAACAAGTAATTATGGTCCGAAGTGCTGGATAATAATATTTTACGTTACCAGGATGATGGCATAAATAATGCGGTTTTACCTGTTGACACCTACTCGGTCTGGCTGCCTGTGAGCAAGTAGGTATGGAAATACATTTCCCTAAAGAAAATAATACTTGCAGAGGTTTTTTATCATTAAGTTTTGCTGAACTACTGCCCTGTTCAGCCCTTGGATGTGAGAGTGGAGACAACAATGGCTCAGAAGGCGAGGTTTGCCCCAAGTCAGTAACTGCTCGCTATCTGCCGCTCCTCACTTTATCTTTTTTTAATGGTTTGCTGAGTATAGGTGGAAGAGGAGAGTTCAAACCGCTTGGCTGAGCACAGGATTTGAATTTCAAAGAGCTGCTGGGGCTGCGGTTCTTGCTCAAACCCGAGTGGCTCCAAACTCAAAGTAAGGCTCGGAGAGATGAGGGTGTTGTGCTCGCAAACCTCCGCCTTTCTTCTCGGGGAAGATTAAAGGCAGCTTTCAACAGTGTGGCTCGTTCAAGCGTGTTGCTTCGAGGGCGATGGTTTTAGCTGTAATGAGCCCACATCTGGCGCAATGAGCCCACATCTGGCGGGTGGAGGCAGCGGTCCTCGACATGGAGAGCTCCTCAGATGCGACCTGCGAGGCTCTTGCCATGGGCTCTCTTTGGTTTTTTCTGCTTGTTATGCTTCTCTGCGCTCTGGGAGTCTGCATGAAAGTAAAACCCACAGCGAGGATTGTCTCAGATTATGAGAAATAAATCCAGGTCGTTGGGGCTAAACCTCTCTTTGCAGAGGAGAAAACATGCCGGTGAGGCTTCCCAGCAGCCAGGAACCCTCGTTATAAGGATTTTGTACCAATTTTTGCAGTTACAAAAGCAAATGGAAAAACTTTGCAGCACGGGGATATCAAATGGGTAGCAATAGCCAATATCCCTTTAGGTGTTTTTCTCCCCTCTTTCTAAGCAACTTTTGCAACTCCCTCCCTGATGTGAGTAGGTTTAAAAGCAATCGAGGAAGTAAATGTAGGAAGTTGGAAAATAGTTGTAAATCTGTGCGTTGGCTGCCCTTGGCTGTATCTGCCTGTTTTGGCATGGGAGGAGGCCAGGAGGACCCCAGGAGCTGGTGGCTTTTCCTACTCCCCTTGGCCAAGTGTCATCACCAACCCATCAGCAGGAGGGGGAGCAGATGCTCACAGAGTTAAACTTCTCACAAAAACTGCTCCTTGCAGAGTGCAGTGCTTAAAGAAATGGGGAAAACCTAGGTTTTTTCTGTCTTATCAAGGACACATAACTCTCCTGCCTGCTTCAGGCTTTCCTTTCAGGGGGAAAAATGTGAAGATTCAAGCTTGTTTACCAAGAGAAGGGGGATGACTTGGTTTATAATAAGCCTGCTTTTATTCTGTGTAGAACAGAAAATGACTTTCATTAAACTTTTTCTTTCCCCCCACCCCCCCATTGCGCAAACAGAAGAAAAAGAAGCTTTTTTCCTTTGTAGCTGTAGCATTTGATCTCTAATTTAACTTGACAGGAAGAGAAACCCCTGTTAGACTGCAGAACCTTATTAGCATTTTGTCGAATGGCACCAACTAGCCGAGCTGCCTTCAAGAGCCAAGAAATACATTCATTCAAGGCACTGAAAGAGCCATCTCTCCTGCATGCCCCGGGAATAGGATGGATTAGTCACCTGTAATTAAATCAGTGAAGCATGAATGAGCCTGATCTTTCCCGGGCTTGTGAAAGCAAGGATGCCTCCCATAGACACGTGTATGCATCTGTAACTGCTGCACACCTTTAAAACGGAGCTAAATGGGGCTAAACGTACGCTTTTCTATTTTACAAGGCATCTTCAACTTTGTATTTAAGGTCCTGGAAAGCAGAAAATTCTCAGGGCGCTCAGTGCTGGCGTTGCAAAGCAGCGATGGCGATGCAGGGCAAGGCTGGAGGGGTAGACGCCTTGGTGGGCTGGAGATATCGAGGTCTGTTCAGCTGCACGTCTCATCTTCTCCTTTTCTTCTTTTCACAGTTTTCTTGCTGCGGCGGCGATGAGTACCGGGACTGGGAGGTTAACCAGTACCACTCCTGCAACAGCAGCGGGCCGCTGGCGTGCGGGGTGCCCTACACATGCTGTATCAGGAAGGTAAAGCATGAAAAGTGCCTTTATTTCAGTAGTATTTCAGCAAAACACCCTCTTCCAGCTGGTTATTGCTGCGTATTTCTGCGCTATAGGGCTTCTTGTAAGCTGCATTGCCACCTTGCAAAGCAGTTTGGGACAACATCAGCGTGGGACGCTAAAGAAACTGGAACCTATATAGGGGCTACACTGTGTTTTAGTAGGCTTTGTTTTAATGTAGAATAAATACCAAAGCACTGGGCTATTAATTGCACTTGTGTCATGCCAAGAAGTTGTTAGAAATGCCAAGTTCCTGTTTTTCAACATACAAAATGGTTTTGGAGGATCGTTTTGTAAAGTAATAGCAGTGTCTTAAAAGGAGTTGGCTGCATCTCAGTGTGAGTCCAAACGAGTTGTTGTCCGCTGCTTTCCTGTCCAAGAGGACACGTTTGTCAGACGGCTGCTGCAGGGTTTAGCCGTATGTGGGGATCCTGTTTGATGGTGTCTGCTCCATGTTTGATGGTGTCTGCTCCTATCGAGGTTTTGGAGGGTTTTGCTGAAAGTGGGGCGGTGAGAGGTATTTGGATAAAGACCCACCCTGGTGTAATGGAATAAAAAAATAAGTCTGGTTAGGAATTGCCCTTGCAAGGCTGCGTGTCCGACACGCTGCGAGTTGAGTTGAACGGAGATGGAGAGAGCGGGGAGTGGATTTGCAGAGCTGTTAGGGTCTCCTGTGCTGCATTTCGGAGCTGAAAATCAAGACTCACACCCCCCCCCATGCAGCACTTCTCTGCTGAGACTAAGCTAAGTGCTCTGACACCGTCTCATTTAATACAACCATCCACCTTGTTGAAATCAATCTAACACTTGCTGTGGATAAAATGCCGGGAGCTGGGCCAAGGCGAGGGGAAAAAAAGGGCAAATCTCCCTGGCTGCTGCTGCCAGAAATACTATGAACACTGCTAAAAAGGATTTGCTAAACATACTCCCGGTAGTAAAACCTCCTCGGGGTTCAGAGCATCAGTGTTGCCCCTGAAACCTGGCCATGCTTTACAAATTCTACAATGAAAATATATCATCAACCTAGTATTGATGTTGGATTTTTAATGGAAAGAGAGGGAAATCTGAGGCATCTTAATTATGAGTGGAAGCCTGACATGCAAATCAGCTGTAAAAATAATTGTCTCTAATCAGGGCGTTGATTAAGAATCTTAAAGCTTCTGAAGATGGAGTTAGAAATTCATGTGTTGTCCTTTTGTGTTAGAGTGAGGATGTGTTGAAGAGAGTCAAGCGCGTTTTTCAGTATTTTTACACTTGGTTTTGGGTGACAATTTGGCAAACAAAAGACCTCAGTGCCTCAGGCAGTATTGGAGGTACAAGAAACCACAGGTGATTGATAGAGTAGGGTAAGAAATAAGGCAACTTTTTGGTTTCCTATTGCAATGAGCTGGGTGTGGATGATGCTCCAGTGAAGGATTGGAGCATCCAGCTCCTGGGAAGGAAAACTCACAGTAAATCCTCCACAGTTTTTTCAAGAATTAAAGCCCATGAACATGGCTCTGACAGCTGGAGCGGTTTTATGGGAAGCAAGACCTCACCAAATGCATCTAAATCTCCATGAGAAATGAAACCTGTTCTTGGAGAGAAGAGTAACCAGGTAGATAGATGTAGCCTCCTCATTCTTCAAAGATCTGATTTTTGGCACTGCAGGGTACTTTTTGGGTAAGAAATCAGCCCGATGCGATATCAGTAGTACATGAAATGGATTAAGAGAGACAGCTCCCTTGGGAGTTTTCTGCTCTCTGTGACATAAAACAAGCTAATAAAAAAAAGTTTAAACAACAGAGTTGTTTAGTTTAAACAACAGAGTGAAACCCCCTGCAACTGCATTTACCATAAGCTCCAGCATGTCTATTCATAGCTATTTCCTGAAATCAAAGAGTTCTCATGGGGGTTTTCCCTACGGGCTGAGTAGGTGGGAGAAGCACCTCTGTACCTCGGGATGAGGAAGGTACCTGTGTGTGATACTCTGGTTGGGTCTTAGCGATGTGCAGCACCTGCTGAAAACCCTTTCCACCAAAATATATTACTTGAGGCCTGAAAGAAGATCTTGCGTTGGCCCTGTGGCTGGAGGCATAACCAGGGACCACCTGGGCATGTGGATGGATTCTTCTGCGTTGGGTAGAGATGAACACAGTGGTCTCTCCATTCTGAGTAACCTTTTTACTGACCAGTTATACATCCACCCGTTTGTAGGGCAAGAAACCCTTCTCTTCTTGTGTCATACTTCTCTGTGCCTCTTTGAATCAAAGATGGAGGGAGAAGCTTCCTTTTTTCTGAGGAGGACCTTTGAGTTTTAAGTAGAGAGGTGCCAGATGTTGTTTGGAAATGTACTATTGTGGAAAGAACAAAAGATGCTGATAGGATCGAGCTTGTCTGGAGGAAGGAGCCTGAAACATAGATTTAGGGGGTCAATTTCAATGTAAATACAGCCATAAAATCATCCTGTTTTCCAAGAAAATACTTTTTCCATTACAAGACCCTCCAAGAGCTTTGTGTGGCATCCCCTGGGGCATCTCCCAGGGCACGCTGAGTTGCAGTAATGAGAGCAGACATCCCCCCAAAATGCTCTGGCTATTTTGAGTCTCATCTTACGGGACTGTGGACCTTAAAGTCTTCCCAGGAAGGAGGAATGGGCAAACATGCACGTATTGAGGATGTGAAACTGGACCCTCGTCTCCAAGCGCTTTCCTGAATGGTTTTCCAAGGCATTTGTGCCTTCTCCTGGGAAGCTGCAGCGTAGCGCAGTGTCTCTGAACCCCTCATGAAGTGTCCCTGCTGACATTTGGCACTGATTTGGGAGAGAAAAGCAGCTGGTTAAATAAAAAGTGCAAGGATTGCAGTCTTCTGCCCTCGGTGGGTTTTAAACGTCTGTGCGTGTTGCTCTTCTGTGATCCCTGAGGGCATCAAAATGCATTCTGGAAGAATAAAGGCCTCTGCCTGTTTTATGTTAGAAATTTCAATTCAGCTCTGACCTTCTCATCCGTGCAAGACCTTGACAAAAGTCAATCATGGCTAAATCATCACTTTTGATCTTCCACGCTTCTCCTGAATACAGGGTGTTGAGGGAATTACTCCAAGAGACGGGCAGGACTGGGGATGACTGAGAAACCCTTGGTTATTTCATGCAAGAAGGAAGAAAAATGATGATGAATTTGTACCCCAACTAGATGCGTTCAAACGATGAGCCCGATAGAAAGCAATGGTGTTTCACCAGCAAGGGTCCTGAGATGCCCATAGAAGTGAGTCTGAAAAGCAAGGACCAATGAAAGCTGTCAAGGAAAATGGTTTATTTTTTGTTAATATAAACCAAATAGGCAGATCCTTGGTCATGAGTGGGTTCCTTTATGCCACTACAGGAGCCAGCATTTACCTTAAGGGGAATTTGCAACGCTGTAACGCTGAAGGATTCCCATTTCATGGTCCTAACCCTGGATGAGGTCTCTCTCCGGATGCTGATGGCTGCTTTGCTGCTGATCTCCAGATTTCCCTGCAAGTCTTTCGTATGCACAGGGACTAATTAGTGTCCTTAACTACGCCCAGCTCGTAAATAATGTCTTGAAGTGGTGAGAGATGGGATTTTTTGATAGCACTGTGAGTAATGTGGTAGGTACAGAGGCTCTTGGTAAGGGAGTGCTGGAATAATTTCCCTGCCAATTACAGGAGGAACAAGTTGCAGCTTTATGGCTGGAGTCTGTCCGGAGGTGCACATTTCTTTTATGCCACATCTTGCAGGAAAGCGTAATTTACACCTAAATGTGTGCATTTCTCTTTTTTCATCTCTGTGCCTCCGAAGCACGGGATGTTTTTTGTTTTGTTGTCCAGGAGATTTTACTGGCTGTCAAAGCCATCTTTCTGAAAGCATAATCATTTCAGCACGTTATTATTTTATGGGCACAAGGCCCCTTTAGAAACACATGGTGTTATGGAAGCTGCTGTTTGATCCATGAAACAAGCCAGAAAAACCCCATCAGAAGATCAATACCAAGAGGTGCAAAGTACCCAACTAGCTCAGGGTGTGCGGGAGCCACTTTCCAGCTTTGCTTTTTTTGGGATGAGCAAGAATCAGTTTTGTAACCCAACATGTACCACTTTGCATGCTGACAAATACAGGGGAGTTAGGTTTGATTTTCTTTTATAAAGGTCCTGAATAGCAGCATTTGACCAGGATTTCTCTCTTTAGCTGTAGCTCTTGAAACATTCTTGTTGGCCAACAAAGATCTAAGGCTTGGGGCTGTCTAAAATCCTTACATTTCTCCTCAAAGTGGTGGAAGACTTGGGGAAATTCCCTCTTGATTTCTGGAGAGCCCAATTCATTTAATCCCTGTGAAATTCCCTTTATTACGAAGGAGGGGCACAACTGAAGGTGGTAGAAAAGATGGCTGGAATGAAATGAGGCAACAATCAAGGGAATATTTTGAAAGAGCTGCCTTGCTAAATGCTTGCGTGACGTGGAGTTGGGCCCAGCTCAAATCTCTAGAAAAGCGCTGGGGTTACCTGAGCATCCCCTGAAACAGCAGAAACCAGAGAGAAAAGTGGGTTAAAAAAAAAAAAAAATAAAGTCCCAACAACTTACTGCCATGGTTTCAGCACTGCGTTGGGGCAAAAGGAGCCCACGGTAGCGAAGCAGGGTTTGAGGGTAGCTGCTTGCCTTGTGCTGCGCTGAATGGTTGAGGCAACTCGGCGAGCTCTTCTGTTTCTTATTCTTAATTTTTATTTCTTGCATTTCCCCTTCAGCTTCCTCCCAGCTAAGTCTGTTCACCAATTCTCTCTTCACAGGTCCCTGGAGAAGTCATTAACACCCTGTGTGGATACAGGACGCTGGATAAAGAGGTAACACCTGCGTTTTCCTTTGTACGTACAAGATTGGCTTCTCCTTCCCCAGACCCCCTAAAACGAAACAGTTATCTGCAGGTAAACTCTTCCCCACCAAGGATGGCTTTGTATAAATTAGTTTTTATTGTTTTTCCCTGGCATCTCAGGCTCACAGAGCGTGGGCAGGCTCATGACATGTTTGGGTCGTCCCTGTAGGCTTTGGCGTGGCCTTTCTGAATCAGCCCCGGGAAATGCTGCTCCTGAGTTGTGTTTTGAGGCTTGTTGGTAGGAGAGAAGCTGATTTTGAGGCCTTCAGGGGTGACCGCAGGGCTTTATCGCAGCGGACAGCTGCAGTATCTTTGTGCATATGGACCGTAGCTCCCAGGGACAGTTTTTTGTCAAGAAAACCTAGGGAAAGCTTCAATCCAAGAAATCAATTCCCAAACATTTCTCATGCCACTCCTTTGGCTGGCAAGAAGGTGCAAATGCAAGAAAAAATATCTCCCCTCAAACCCAACATCTGAATGAAAACCGTGATGCTTCACTCTTCTTCCAGCGCCTGGAGCTGCTCAACATCATCCACGTGCGCGGCTGCATCCACGCCGTCGGGCTCTGGCTCAAAGACAACTTCGAGGCCACTTTGGGCATCGTTTGCTCCCTGCTGCTTCCACAGGTACGTGCTGGATCCAGTCGGCCTCCTCTCAGCTTCTTTCGCTGTGCTGGAGGAGGAAAATAATTCATTTTTAATTATTTTTTTCCCCTCCATTTATATCTGAAATTTGTGTCTTGGCTGGCAAATGTCACAGCGCTTTCTAGAGCATCCTTCGCAAAATTAACAGTTTACGACCGCGATGGCGCTCTCATAACACACTCCTGAAATATAATTATTGATCGAGGAATGGCACCTAAAAGCAAGGCATGCATATCAGCACAGCAAATCCTTTTATATTTGTTTTTACTGCTTTCTTCAAATAGAGCATAAATATTAACCAAAATAAACCATAATCGTAAATTCAGCAGTACTTGCCATGCTTCATAAAATCCATTTCCCGTTAATGATGCCTGAGAATCCAAGCAACTTTCCAGCACAGGTAATTAAACTCTTCATCACAGATTCTCGATACGGAGAGAAACTTTGGGTTGCAGCTGGGACTGTGCCTTTGCAACACTGTTGGCACTGTGCCAGCAAGGAGGTGTACATCTTTCTTAGACACTTCCAGAATTATTGTTGACAAAATTTTGATGATTTAGTGTTGACTTGATCTTTTTTTGACTCCTTTCAAGGCTCACAGGTGAAAGGTTTTGCTTTATTTCATTGGATGTAATGTTGGGTTTGCAACTGGAGGTATTTGGTGATGCTTTCCAAATACAGGGTTTTATCTAAATGGCAGTGAAATGGCTTTATTTTATTAAGTGTTTTCGCTTGGAGTGAAAGGTAGAATAGCGGTTGGATAAAGCAGAAGCTGCTGGGGAGACATGTGGCACATGGAGCTAATTTTTCAAAGGATGGACTTTCCTCTCGAGCTCTGAGATGGTCCAGATGAAAAACCAAGACGGGGAAGCAGTGTGTGCCCAATCCTGGCTGTGATGCTCCACGTTTCTAAAGTGCTTTCCCCGAAGCACGCAAATGAGCAATTGACTTCTGCTGTGCTACCTCTAGGAAATGCAACGGGCACAGAAATGGGGTAAGAAAGTGCCGTAATAGAGGCGACCGCTTCCATCTGCCTTGCAGGATGTCGAGAGCCCATTAGAGAAGCTGCCTGTTGCGGTATCCATTAACCTGCCAACATGATGCTCTTAATTGGGAAGAATAAGGAGAAAAACCAGAGATGGCAATAAGGTTTGCTGAGCCTTGATGAATATCAAGTGCTTTTGAGCAAGCGTTGTGATTTTTCTGGTGTGCCGTTAAACGCTCTTCAGATGAAGAACCTCATTCTTCCCATCTGCTCACGATTTCCAGGTTTTAAATATAAATCTGATTTGATTCTGTCAAGTTTTGGAGGGAATTAAGTTATAAATGGCCATCTGTGCTGCCAGGAGCTGTCAGTCCAGAAACAGCTTTATCCCCAGCAGCTGCCAGCAGAAAGCTGGGGTGAGAATTTTGTCCTTGGATTGCCGATCCAAGGGGGGAGGGGTTGGCACTGTTGACATGGGGAGTGCCCTGAACTTTGGGAAGAGTGAACATATTGACTTGTCCTATCTTTGGGTATTTGTGGTGTCCCACACAGGACACGTGCCTCTCCAGGGAGCTGCAAATCTCCTTAGTGGAAAACTTGGAGGATGCTGGGGAGAAGGTTGGGACTGTGATCCATGTCCCGATTCCAGCTTTGGGTTTGGCTCAATTTTCCTCAAAGTGTTGCCCTTCCTTAGGATCAAACTTCAGCCTCATCTGCAATGACGAGCAGCTTGAGGGCTCAAAGGTTGGGGATTTGAGCTTGGCTGATGTTCATCATCCGAGTGCCTTGAGGTTTGTGCTTGGATTTGGGGTAAGCAGCTGCCTCTTCTTGCGCAGAAGGAAGGACCTAAGAAAAGTTTTGGCTGACATAGAGCGCCCGTGGCGAGCGGGCAATTATTGCTCTCAGTGTTGCCTTTCCATCATGCTCAAGTGTGGGAAACCACCGAATTTTGGCTTTCCGTCATGTGGGAAGTTATTTAATTTTAAAATTTTCTCTGCTTTTCCCAAAATATCTGAGTGAGAGGCCAAGGGCACAGAACAGGCTGCTGGGTTTTCTTTTCCTCAGGTATCTTTCTCATCAGGTCTGGGGAAAGTTGTAAATATGCTGGGTCCTGTTGGGTGTTGAACCGATTGAACGGTGGAGGAGGAAGGGAAATACCCTGCCTGGGTGTGTCACCATATGGTAGCCAGTGCAGGACAGGGCGGGGAGTTGTGAATTTTATGGTTGCTCTTAAATCATTCATGTTTCTGCCTTCTTTAAGTGAGCCATCAAACAACGGGGGAAAAAACATCCCATTTTAGGAGTGGGAAGTGGTTGTGTTCATTTGTCTTACTTCATTCAGAGCGAAGCGTAAATGCGCCAAGGCAATTATTTTTCTGCCTTTGCAGAGTACCTTTAATTCTCTTTTTTTCCCCTTGTGTTTCTTTCTCCAGTAACAATCACATCTCCTTGCCTCTCTTCTCAGCCAAGCTGCAGACCGAGGCCAAACCATGATGCATTTGATATCACTCTCAAAGAGTCGTTTTAATTTAGTTGCTGGCTGTCAATGGCAAATTCATGTTGTGGCCTCGTACTAGTTGCGTTTAATTATGAAGCAACCCCACATCTTTCAGCAGGTGCAGCAAAGCACATAAATTTCTTTTATACTGGCTGCATCTCTACCTTCCTTGCCTCTAGCAAGATTATCCAAGGAATTTACACCATGCTTACAACACGTTTGTAGGTAGAATAAGCCAAATAACCTCGTGTGTTCCTCTTTCTCCTTTGCCATGCCCAGGTGCTCTTTCAGCAGGTTTTATATTGACCTCAGGAAAAGCATCTTCAACTTTTCCATTCCTGTGTCTCTACAGGGGGTGTTTTCTGATGGCATTTCATCTTCCGTAGCGAGGTGAAGACGTAGCCACTGTAATAAGGTAGAAGCAAGTGCATAAAAAAGGTCTCCCACCCCTTTTTCTCCATCCTTAAGAAGCAGAAAGTGGCACAAGTCCAATTAAAAAGAAAAGAATCCGCGAAAGGTCGCTGCCAAGGGTTAATGTCTGACGGCTCTGCGGCACAGCCGACTTGCGGTAAATTGTTGCTACCTCTATTTCACTTTGATATTTCATCAGCCTCCAAAGCTCCATGTTAGGAGCAGCTACAAAGTCATAGGGCATCAGTGCAGAGGTAGATGTTCCCTCCTAAGAGTATAAATCCAGAAGATCAACTATTTCAGTCCTCAAAAATGCAGCATTAGACTTGCAAGGGGCCTTTCGCAGGTTGGCATCTTCATCTCATGGTGACAGTAATGTTAAATGTTTCCTTGCGTAAAGGGCTTTGTATTGCCAAAGTTCCCTTTTTCTTTGCAAGATTAATTTGTATTTTGTTTGATTTTTAATATCTAAGTTGCTTCAGGGGGCTGGAAGACAGTATATTCTCAAGCGGCTGATGTGTGCTTAATGTAGTAGAAAAGGGGAATAAAAGGGATTTTTCCAACTGCAGTCCATGACCTCTGTGAGAGCCTGGTCTATAAATATCAATTTATGGAAGGAAAAGCCAATAAGAGATAAATGCTTGCTTTTTACTTGATTAGTGCTGGGAAAGCTTGAAATGATCCAACTCTTCTGTTTAGCATGATCCGGCTTTACATCCACCCAAACGGGCAAGGACCTCCGGAGCCAGGTGCACGCCTGCGCAGTGGCGTTTGCAGGGAAAAGGGTTTTCTTGCAGGAAGTTTTGCTTGCAGAAAGACCCTCGTTGGGCTGATGGATTGCCTTATCCGTGGCCAGAGTTGGTTTTGTCGGAACCACGATGCAGCGGTATGTGGTTAATGATGCTGTCGCCCTGCAAGGGCTCTTGAGCATCGTTTTCTTGCTATTTTGGTTCATTAATTTTTGCCCTTGTTAAGCAAAAGCCAAATTGAGCGTGTTTGATTGCCCAGGAAAATGCGACTGGAGGAGCTGAGCAACTTTTGAGCGCTCTGCAAGGGCCCAAGCTACAACCTTTCCACCCCAAATCAAGCCACCAATCACATGCACGTGCACACATGCATGTGCACATCCCTAAGGGAAAACAGCTGTGGTTTTCCAGACCTTTTTCTTCTTGTATAATAATGTGAAAACCAGTGTTTGAGCCCCTTTCCTTCTTTGCTTTCGAAAATGCTCCTGACTCCGAGCGTGCTTCCTTTTGCCGGACAAGCCATCAATCAAGGGACATTTCCCAGTGAGGAGGATATTGCAATTAGATCTCAGCCGTATCAGCCCCGTTGAGATCTATTCCTAACACAAAACTGTTTAATCTGAAAGAACAAGTGGAGCGCTATGAGACAGTGAGCAGAGCTGGGGCTTGGCAAGGATGGAGCTGAGCACCAAAAGCTTCCTCATACAGCACCTACATGGCAGACAGAAATGCGTGGTTTAAGTCTAGCAGAAGGCTCTGCACTGCACCAGAACCACAGAAACTTGAGTGTAGCCTCAAGTACTTGCATATATTTAACTTCCTAGAGTGCTGGAAGAGGAGGAATTACCATTTATTGCATTAAAGTATCCCAAACTTCCATATTAATCTGATTTTAGTCTTGCGATGTTGGTAGGAAATTGGTAATTAGGATCGATGATGTCTTCTTTGAAATGCTTTAAAAGAAGTTTTTGCTCACTGCTGTCAGCTCCAAGGAGAAAGAGCTTTGGGCTTTGACGGAGAGAGCAAGTGTTGTTCCCAAGAAGTGCAATATTAGGGTTTCTCCGAGACGGATCCTGCTGGAGAACCAGGATGCTTTTCTGCCACCAGAAAAAGGAGTGGAGAACAAGTGCTGAAACCACCGGAGCATGTATTTCCAATCTCTTCTGGATATCTCTTGTAATATAAAAATGCCTCTTCATGCCTTGGAGTAATAGCAGTGGATGAAGTGAGACGTTTGCTGTGGCAGGGGCAATAACTATTTAATTTCTGGAGCGCTGAGTTGGGAACAGCAGCAGGATGGTGTCCTCGCTCAGCTGGACAAGCCAACACCTGTAGCTTAATC